CAGACTGGCTTACTTGCTCGTACTTTATTCGTACAAACTGTGCCAAATGCCTAGAGAATATGTGTATTATCTAATGGATTTTGCAGCCTTACCATGACCCATTCCAGGGGATTTTCACAAGATAAAGCAGAACAGATGATGGACAAATGGCGGCACCTTTGTTTTGGATAACTGTCTGCCAATGCCCATTACAAATGAGTTTGTAATCCACTTAAAACGGGAGAAACAGCCTGCAAAACAAATGGAATGAATATGTAATTATTGTTCTTGGGGATAATTTGCAAAACACATGCTAGAACATGTGACTAATTGTGTGTTTTCTGTTGTTTCCAGTATAAACAAGTGGAGCAGTACATGTCATTTCATAAACTGCCAGCAGACTTAAGACAGAGGATCCACGATTACTATGAGCAGCGATTCCAAGGCAAGATGTTTGATGAGGACAACATTCTCGGAGAGCTCAGTGACCCACTCAAGGAGGTGTGTGACTTTACCTGCTGTTTCTTGCTTCCTCTCTCCAGTTTTTTATTAAGTGTTGAATAAGTTCGTCTTTTACGTTAAAAAGGGTCCATGAAAATTTCTTTAAATGTGCCTTTATCTAAGCGACAGTTCAAAACCTAAATATATTTAGTTTATAATGAAATTGGAAAACATCTGATCAGCTGTTAGATATGCTAAGAGCTAGTTAACAATGCTTTTATTCCTGTTTATAGACTAACTGACATATTTTTTTCCACAATAATATGCTATATATCACAATATGGTAAAACATAGACTATTTGATTTGTATGTTGATCTGTAAGCTTCTTCCTCTTGTTTTGGCTTTTGTCTCAGTAGATCATCTGCCTCCATTTCACTCTATCCCAGCATCCTCCTCCTCTGTCACACCAGCCTTCTGCATACCCTCCTTGACTATGTCCATAAATCTTTTATGCCGTCTTCCTCTTTTGCTCCCACCTGGCAGCTTCATCTTTAACATCATGACCAAAATCCTCCTGAGAACTGAGGAAATTTTTTTAATGATTTCCTGCCTCTTTGGAGCTAAAAGAAGCCATCCAAACACATGAGATACCGATGGAAAGCCCAGGATGTCCTCTATTTAGCATTTAGGGTCTTAGTAAGGTAGCTCAAATAAGTCAAAAGATATAGACCATAAACAAATGTCCATTATAGAGGACATAAATTAATAGCCTGGTTCTCATGAGGATATATTCACTATCCCTCCAATCGCCTCCAATCTTTTTGCCAGTTCTACAGTCTCCACATTGTACATCACTCATCCACCTTCACTATCTCTGCTCCTTACATATTCACCTTTCCGCCTGTCTCTCTCTCATTCACACACATGTATTCTGTCTCACTTCTATTGTCCTTCATTCCTCTTCTCTCCAGAGCATACCCCCACCTCTCTATGCCCCCACCTCTCTATGCTCTCACTTCTCTCAGTGTTATCTGCGAACATCATAGTCCATAGAGACTCCTGTCTGACCTCATCTGTTAATCTGTCCATCACAACTGCAAACAAGAAGGGGCTCAGAACTGATCCCTGATGTAATCCCACCTTGAACCCATCTGTCACTCCTGCTGCATACCTCACCACTGATAGACAGTAAACAATGGTTTTGATACTTGGGTGATGAGTTTACTTTATTTCATAAGAAAAAAAAGAGCTTCACATTCTCAGTTTCAAGCTGAAGAGTTGCTGTCTGAAAACACTTAAAACTTTACAAATGTTTTAAATCTACCAAATCTTTCATATATGTGACTGTAGTTAAAACCTGGCAGAGATATTTTATGACAACTTCTTGTATCGTATATTTTCTCCCCCTCATGCAGGAGATTGTCAGTTATAACTGTCGTGGACTCGTAGCCAATATGCCACTGTTTGCCAACACTGACCCTCATTTTGTGACGGTGATCCTGACCAAGCTGCGTTTCGAAGTCTTCCAGCCGGGAGATTTTATTATACGAGAGGGAACGCTGGGTCGGAAAATGTACTTTATCCAGCACGGCACCGTCACCATCATCCCACGTGGTAGTAAGGAGATTAAGCTCAGCGATGGAGCATATTTTGGGGGTAAATCGTGCTTTCTTTTTCCTGTGACTGTATTGCCAAACTTTTTCCATTTTTAGTCTTTATGATAATATAATCAGGTGGTATTTCTTCATATTTATGGTCCAGACATGCAGGTGGTATAGATCCTCTCATTTAACAAGTGGGATGAACTACATATTTAAAATTATGTCTTCCTTGTTTCAGAGATTTGCTTGCTGACACAGGGACGACGCACAGCCAGCGTGAGGGCTGAGACCTACTGCCGTCTTTACTCGTTGAGCGCGGACAGTTTCAACGAGGTCCTGGAGGAGCATCCTCTGATGAGGAGGGCGTTTGAGAGTGTGGCCGTGAACCGACTGGACCGCGTTGCGCGCCGACCGAGTTATCAGCCAGTCCCGGATGAATGACTTCCTCAGCACCATGAGAAAAACATTCCAGCCAGACTCATCGAGCGCATTTGTCACATTTAAACTGCACATGACAAAGATATCTTCTATTGAAGCACGCTGATGGACAATCAGATAGCGAGACCTACTTAAACTTTTTAGTACCGCATTACTGCGATGATGTGACAATAGTCTACCTTTAGTGGTTTTATTTTATTATTTGAACTTGAATCGGCTGTAATATGCGCTCATGTTTGTGTTAGAGCTTTGTATACTCTTCGTGTAAAATGACCTGTATAATTTTGAAACTGTATGGACATCAGCAATGATCTTTTGTTTCTCCCGTTCTGATGATATTACATTTTGATTTACATGAGCTTTTTTATTCATGTATTGATGTATTGATTAATTTTTTTTTTACCAACAGTCTGTCTAGATTGGTCTCTTTCCAGCTGTAAATACCTCTTTTAAAGCACATTTTAGTGGCCTGTAGTAGCCACTTTGATTATCTATCAGATCATCCGTCCAGGATATTGACAGCCTGCAGGAGCAGCAGCTGGTGTTACATCATTCAGCTTTCTGTGGCTCTATTTTACATGGTCCTTCTCATCTGTAGGTTGCCTGATGTGAAGATTTAATGCTGATGTTCACAGAAGATCAGTTGCAGTTATGTAATATCTCCAGCTGTACACAGACAGGTTTCACAGAGATCATATAAAGAATAATTTATACCCAGTATTATTTGCTTCCATACTATTTTTGTTTCATTTTTTTCTGGAGTATTGTTTATTTATAATGTAAAACTAATGAATGAGAATAAAGTCTCTATAGGTTAACTAGTATGTAACCGTCAGACGATGCTGTTGTATAATATAAGTTCTATTTTTGTAAATATATCAGCTGAACTTTCTCAGTTTTTTTTTTTACTTCACTTTTTTAGTGGGGTTACATACAGGGTCTACATGCAGCATTTTTCACAGCAGAAACCACAGCTGTATCTACACATTAACAATGTAGTTATTAGAAGTTTATTTCTCTTCTGTTTTTGCTTCAAAGAAAGATTTTACAAATTTAAATTGACTGAACGCTGATTTACATTTAGATTAATACTGTGTACTTTTCTCAGATGCATTTGAAACAACATGATTTTGAAACTTTTCATCTGATGCACACAAAACAGTCGTTTTTTGAATTTACAAGTTTAACTGAAATGTCTTTATTTTTTCTTATTTTTCTGATTATTACCTTTTTATTGATGATGTCATGTGTATACCAATGTCTGTAACCTTGAAGCATAAATATCAAATATGTATTTTTTCCTATGCAGTGTGTTATTTGTGCTTATGTATAAAGAATGTGCAGACACGTTGATCAAAGAAATACTGTTTTACTTAAGAAAACATTTTTGAAGCTCTTTTCCGGAGCTTTGCCAAGAAAATTAAGTCACAGGTCCAGAATGTATCTTATTGTGACTTATCATAATATTCACTCACTATTTCATAAATCTGAGAAGGATTCTTAAAGGTATGCCTTTTATCCTCAGAATACTCTCTGCTCCTTATTTCTGTTCTCTTTCCCTCTCACCCTCCAACCAGTTACAGCAGATGGCCTGAACCTGGATATGCCAGAGGTTTCTTCTTGTTTGAAGGGAGTTTTCCCTCCTCACAGTCGCAAAGTGCTGCTCACAGGGGATTGCCTGATCATTGGGGTGTGAAGGGTCTCTACATTACAATATAAATCTCATTCAGGTAACTTTTGCTTTGACCTGATGCTATCTATAGATTTTAAATGAAATCTCATCAGAACTATGAGATATAAAGTCATGGCCTTGTTTTTCATAACAGTAAAGTCCATTCTCACAATGATATGATGAACATTCTCATTAATGTGAAACACTAAGTAATTATCCATAATTATGGTGGTATGAGCATGTTCTGATTGTGTATTACAAGATCCTGTTATTATAAATAAGATGTTTTGGTATTTCCTATATACTTTGTGGCTTCATAATACTACAGTACCATATTGCTACATTGTTTAACAAACAATAAGTAATTATTATGATAAATAGTATCATATATAACGATATTTAATAAACTGCCATGATTATAAATGCTAATGAACTATAATAACTTGAAAACATATAATAAATTTAAGGTTACCATAGTTTTTATAATAAAATAAGATATGCTTTATTATCCCAAAAGGTGTAAAACATCCAAAATAACAGAATATCTGTAATGACAAGATTAGCTCAATAAAAATTATCATATGGTCAAAACTGAAAGAGAGAGAGAGAGAGATTATAAATATAATAAATTAATTAACAATAATGTAAACAAATTATATAAATAAATAAAATAGAACAGTTCATTTTATAAAACCCTTAATATCTCAACATAGGTTAAGTAAAGGTTACATAAATTAAATAGACTCTATGTAAAAAAATTAGGCTTTTATAATGCAATATAAAAGCCTAATTTGTGAACAATGAACATAAAATAAAATACGTGCATAGCCTCGTAGTTCTCTTGCATTATGTGAGTGTGTTTTAAATAACCCTCCGCATTATGTATCCGGGCCGTGCGCTCTGCTTCCTGTCTCGCTTTATTTCATAAACTCGGGACGCAGAGAGAAGGTAAAGAGGATTGACTGTCTGCTGCCTTACCTCAGCACGTTTGTGCTTGATTTGAGTTCAGTTTTTTTTAACGCATATTTACTTTTTTTTAATGTAATATCTGCACGTTGCACAGTGAAACCGGTGTTTTTATTCTGACATTACAAGGTTAACCGCTAGCCATTTTAGCTTGGCGCTAGGCTAGCGGTGGCTATCTGAGTATGGAGGTCAGCGGTGTGTACTCCTGTCATCACACTGAAGCAAGGCAGACCTGATCAGTTTTGTCCAGTAATCACTCGCCCTTTTAGCGACCGTATGAGATAAAATAGCCCAGCTGCAGGATTAGGTTTGATAACATGGCTGGCAGTCGCCTTCACCTTCGTTACTTAACTCTGTTAGCTCTGACATAACATCACAAAAGAGTTAGCACTGGACCACCGTAAGAAATACATCATGCTAAAACTGACAGCTAATCTAAATGTATGGTGTTGAAATGAAATGTTAGCTCTCGTTTCGGTGTTTGAAATGTATTTTATAAAACTCAGGCTGAGGTGTTTTTAGTCCGGTTTGTTTTTAGCTGAGAGGGCCATTAGATAGCAAATTATGATGATCAGAAGATAGTGTTATGACGTTGTTGATGCAGTGACACTGAGTAACACCCGACTAATAGTACAAAAGATATTGGTACTGATATGTCAGTAAATATTGTGTGTGTGTGATCTGTGACAGAAAGGGAAACTCATTGTTTTTTACATTTACAGCAGCGTATTTCACAAACTAGTACAGACAGCTTTACTCTGCTCAGCATGGACTGGTAGTAGACTGGAAGTTCAAGTGCCTTGTCCGCCTTTTTGGACACACTCACACTTCGATTTCTTTATTGGGGGAGACTCAGGCTTCAGTATCTTGCTCAGAGTTACTTCGGTATGCAGACTGGAGTACCTCTACCCCCTGAGCCACAACTCTCCTCATTATGTCCACTCACTGTGTAAAATATGGATATAGGCATCGTCACATCAGCTCTTGGTTTTGGTTTCTTCGGTGTCACAGCAGGTTAAACAGCAGCTCTCTGTGCCTGTGCAGCTGCTTTCTTTTATTAGTGTTTGAAAATGAAATGATTCAGGCTCAGTCTTGTTTTTTTTAATTTTTTCATGCAGAAAGGATGCTGTCCTTTTCTCGAGCTGTGGTGAGCGGGGTGGCCCGTGCCCCAGCTGCTATCAGTCAGGGTGGCGTGACTTCTATCACACGATACAACAGCACAGCACAGGTATGACCCATGTTGTTAAAACCAGTATAAAACAAATTAAATCCTTACAACTGTAGTAACAGTTTGGTTTTTTCTCTGCTTTTCTGGCAGAGTGCTCCTAAGAAAACTAAATTTGGACCGCTGGCAGATCAGGACAGAATCTTCACCAACCTTTATGGCCGACATGAATGGAGGTAACACCCCTGTGTTGTTCTCTTGTGAATTTGATGCAAGGTGAGAGGTTTAACAAACAAAAACACAGTTGTGACCTTCTAATATTTGTGCCACAGGCTGAATGGGGCTTTGAAGCGTGGCGACTGGTACAAAACTAAGGAGATTCTTTTGAAGGGAGTCGACTGGATTCTCAATGAGATTAAAGTTTCTGGCCTGCGTGGGAGAGGTGGAGCTGGCTTCCCTACTGGCATGAAGTGGAGCTTCATGAACAAGCCCAGTGATGGCCGGTCAGTGAGGACACAGATATCATTTTGCAATTTTAGTGCTAAGTTGTAACATTTTTACAGAAATGTAACTACATTTGGAGCAATAATAAACACATAAGTACATTTTTTAAGCAAATACAAGCACTTACAACACTCATTTTTAAAAAGGAATGCTTCTGGCGTTCTTATAGTTCAATCAGTTTGATGTTTATCATAGTTTTCATAAAACAGAGCAGATTTATTTTGATTCAGTTTGTTTTTTTCTGTCAGCCAATTATCACCTCTTAATGTTAGCGAAAGTCAGAAATTGCCACGTGTTGTGCAGCCTTTGTGCAAGATAAACTCCGCTACTTTGACAGTAATGTTTATTACACCGACTTGTTTCTGTTTTCGTATGTTAGCCCAAAGTATCTGGTGGTGAATGCAGATGAGGGAGAACCGGGCACCTGTAAGGACAGGGAGATCATGAGGAATGACCCACACAAGCTGGTCGAAGGCTGCCTGATCGCTGGGAGGGCCATGGGAGCCCGTGCTGCTTACATCTACATCAGAGGAGAGTTCTACAATGAGTCCTCCAACCTGCAGGTAGAGATGGATAGAGACAACTGAGATCAAGTCTTTAAAATTATCATACACCTCACTAGCATCTTCAGTTTATGGAGAAAATGCTGGTCGGACATAACTAATTTTCAGCTAAGTCAAAAAGCCAGTCACAATCTTTTTCCAGACCTGCTTGTCAGGCTTAAACATGTAATAAATAAACCTTTTGATCTGCTTTCATGAAAGCCACCTGTGTGCTAGCTAGTCTTCCCTGGATCCATAAATTTGGCTGATTAATATAAACTTTCTCCAGGCAGACAGGAGCTATCCTGTCTGCTTCTAGCAATGACTCCCGTACATTTCATTCTGAAGCTTTATGGATTACTTTCCAGATTTAAAATATTAATATAACCTGTGAAATTTGATTTTATTTTTTTTTAAAGGGCTTATAGTATAATATTATTATAACCCATTATTATTTATTATACTGCCCTTCAGCCATATTTAAAGTAATTAAATTAGTCTTATTTTTCAAGGCCTGGGAAGGGGAAAGTAAGTGTTTATTTGTTTGTTGTTTAAATGTTATTTTGGATACTGATAATAAGCTGCATACTTTCAGATTATATTAAAGTTGGTAATGTGGCTAAATTTAAAAAAAAATCAGCTGTACAACTAATGTCTTTTAGTTGGAGGTGATTCAGACACAAAAGTAGCTGCACCTGCATCCAACTCAATTTCATACAGATTAAGCCTCATATTCTCTCTGCTGGCTCTTAGGTGGCCATCAATGAAGCCTACGCTGCTGGGCTAATTGGAAAGAACGCCTGTGGCTCTGGTTATGACTTTGATGTGTTTGTGATGCGTGGTGCCGGAGCCTACATCTGTGGAGAGGAGACCGCTCTTATCGAGTCCTTGGAAGGAAAGCAGGGGAAGCCCCGTCTGAAGCCCCCCTTCCCTGCAGATGTCGGTGAGTTCCTGTCTACAGAGACGGGGTTAGAATAAAAAAGTTTCTGTATTAATTACATTTTCATCACTGCTGCTTCTTCTGCTGGGCCCTCATTATTCTTGCTAAAATAAAAGCACGTCTCAAATGTCAACACCACTCCCTCTAATGTGTTTGAAGGTGTGTTTGGATGCCCAACAACTGTCGCCAACGTGGAGACTGTAGCTGTGGCGCCCACCATCTGTCGTCGTGGAGGCTCGTGGTTTGTCTCCTTTGGCAGGGAGAGAAACTCGGGCACAAAGCTGTTCAACATCTCTGGGCATGTCAACCACCCCTGCACAGTAGAAGAGGAGATGTCTATTCCTCTGAAAGAGCTCATTGAGAGACACGCAGGTACATAATGCACTAAAAATGTAAAAATCACATCATTTTTGCCTGATAGGATAAGAAAAAGAAAAAAAAAGGAGGTAGTGGAAGTCTTCCTGCGTGAAGGGGGTCACGGACTGAAAAGATTAAGACAGCTTAGCTTAAGCACAGCCTTAAGTGCTTCTTCTTTTTCCTTTTTTTAACTTAATTGGAACAAACATCTGTCTGGTAGGTGGGGTGCGTGGTGGCTGGGATAACCTGCTGGCTGTAATTCCCGGTGGGTCCTCAACACCCCTCATCCCCAAGAACGTGTGTGAAGATGTGCTGATGGACTTTGATGGCCTTATTCAGGCACAGACTGGGCTGGGCACTGCTGCTCTCATCGTCATGGACAAATCGGTAAATATGTCAGCTCTATAGTATATTTAGCTCAATAAGAAATGCAGAATACTGCTGTTAAACGAGTGGATGGGTTTTACTTTTGCAGACTGACATTATTAGAGCCATCGCCCGTCTGATTGAATTCTACAAGCATGAGAGTTGTGGCCAGTGCACACCGTGCAGAGAGGGTAAATGCCTCTTCAGTTCAGTTCTGCACACCTTAATATTTCTCCACCACCTTCATTAAATTAAAACGTGTGAGTTTTTTCTTGTTGTGTTTTTCTGCAGGAGTGGACTGGATGAATAAGATGATGTGGCGTTTTGCGAGTGGTGATGCACGTTCAGCAGAGATAGACATGATTTGGGAGATCAGCAAGCAGATCGAGGGGCACAGTATCTGTGCACTGGGCGACGGTGCGGCGTGGCCTGTGCAGGTAAATGCATGTCTTCATGGAACTATTAATGGGAAACTCAATACTTCAAAATGCATTAGGTACACTTACTGTGTGTGACGTGTAACTAATGCAGGGACGATAATGTTACAGATTGAAGAATACAGCATTACACTCATAGGTGTTTTTAAAGCCTCACCCATGTGTAGAAACCCCATGGCGACCAGAGGTTGCCAAGGGGTTTGCGTTGCACTCTTCACAATTGATTAGCGAGTAGCTTGATTACATGTTGTATTATTTGTAAAGCTCCCTGTTTGTTTTCTGCCTCAAGTTCAGCAGGATAACTGACCGAAACCCCTCTCTTCTCTCATCTGTGTTCCCAGGGATTGATCAGGCACTTCAGGCCTGTCATGGAAAGCCGAATTGCTGAATTCCAGCAGCAGAAGCAGGCAAGGGTTTGAACGGCTTCTTCGAGTCCTTGATCTAATTTTCCTTCGCCCAGAACCCTGTGCTTGTCTTTCACAGATTATTTAAAGAAAAGAGAACGTGCCGTCTTATTAACTCTTCATCAAGCGTTGCATTGATGTGTCTGCCTTGTGAAACAATATTACCAATAAAGTTCTATGATACTTTAATAAAGACTTATTCTTTTTCTTGTGGTTCTTTTTTCTTGTTTTCAATCTCTTGTGTTTTTACTTGTAGGAAAAAAGATCTTATTAATTACAATAATCAGCTGAAGTCTAAATTATTATTATTATCCATTTTTATTTTTACTAAGTCTGTTATTTAAACAGGTAGTCCAAGAGTTCTATTTACATGCAATAAAAGTATTTGAACCCAGTTTTTTTTAAGTTCAGTGTGAACAAGAGGTACAGCTAACATTTTAATATATTTTAGGATCAGTAGTCTCAGGTTTAAATATGTATAATTTTCAATTATCGATTCTCTTAATTGTAGCCTGGTGCTGCGTTGTGATTGGTTGATTGGTTAAATCATTTGAATGCCATAAACCTGGTGCACTGCAAGGATGCCACGATTCCTGTTCGTTTTCATTCTATTCAACATCATTACGGATGTATGTTGAAACTATCTTTTAAAATGTATAATAATGATAGTAATTAATAATAAAACACCTTCTGTAAATAGGCGGAGAAACCAACATTTGAGAAAAAGGTGCTCACAATCTCGCGATAGCGCACGGTCTCGTGTCACGTGACTTTGGCACGTTTCGCTCTGCTGCTTCGTTTCGCCCAGTGGATGCTTTGAACGGTAAAAAGGCGTTTTTAAATTGTTAATGAACCTATGCTTGCTCATTAAATGCATGTTTAAAGTGAAAAAGCGCAGCGTCACAGTAGGCGGAAGGCTACAAAATAAAAATATAGTGCGGGTTGAATATATCAGTGGAGTCATGTCGCTTTTAGTTGCAGCTCAGCATCCCTCACCTCCATCCTTCTGTTAAATAGTTAGCTCAGGCCTAACGTGAGCTGCTTTTATTTATACTAGCCGATTTGAATTATGTAGGATCCCCCTCCTCCCTGAAACATCCTGTTAACTCAGTGGGGGGGGCTTGTTTGTTTTCTTTTTTTATTATTATTATTTATTGCAGTTTCTTCTAACTGGTTGAGGTTTGCAGTTCTGAGTCACATGTCTCTCATGTTGCAGCTTTACGCGGCTGGGTGCTGTGTGAAAGCATGGAAATGATGAAGATCGAGCAGGTGGTTGTCGGAAACGACATGAGGTCCACCTCTGCGGAGATGAAGCCTGAGCCACTGGTCGCCCCCTGTAAGATGACATTTTACATTAATGTGACTCCTCTTTCTAACCGCCACAGACACAGCAACATTATCAGCTTACATGTTTTGATGATAAGTCCACCCTTACTGAACAACTCTTCTCACTGTGACGCAGACCAGCATGAGAGTCTGCAGTGCTTCCAGTGCTTTATCACCTTCTGTAACTCCAAAGCTAAAGAGAGACACATGAGGAAGAGTCATCGGGACCAGTACAAGCAGCAACTGCAGCAGGTGGGAAAAACAGGCTAAATACGCCCAGCAGTTCATGCATGATGTGTAATGTTTTACTCTCCAGGATTATTTATTAATCTTTGAATTTGTTACGTATTAATAAAAATAATCATTTTGGTATGGAAAACAAGAAGCAGCAAGTCTGAACATAGACTGTAGATAAATGATGGAAAATGTGTTCAGGTACGAAAAGTGAAGCCTTGATCATACTGCATCCACGAGTCCACTGAGGTCCGACAGAAGTGTATTTCATCATCACACGGGGAGCATGACAATCCATGTCAATATCAGCATGCCTCCCTGTTTTTGTGATCATGTGATCGTTGTGAGATTTACCTTACAATGCAAAAACTACTGCACGTCTGCAATGGATTATAATTAAGGCTTGAAGCTAAAGCAAAAGTGCCTCAAACCTGCACTCTTTTCAGTGGCCAGCAGGGGGAGATTCTTCTGATTACAGAAAGATTATATAGAGGTCCAATAGAGAAAGCAGCTGTACTTCTCACATGATTTGTGGCTTTAGTAACTGCATTTCTCCTGAGTTTAAGTTCTCAATAGCTAGTTTACAAGATAATGTTCAGGCTGTAAACTATGGTTCTTCTAAGAGTTAGAAATTAAATGCAAACAGGGTAGGCTTCAGGTCAACTCTTCTGTACCCTATGAATGTGTAGTGTCACTTGGCTTCACAACAAGGCTACATACCACCCTCTGCTCAAAGTCATATGCAAGAGGATTACATCTTTTATATACAGTCTATGTATTTAAAAAGCTGGAACTGTGAAATTGTGCCAATATATGTTTGAATGATGAAGAACAACCCACACTGTTTTCTTGATGATTGCCCAGTAATCCAGAAAGTTGATTCTGTTCAGTGACTTCTTCAGGCTCAGCTGACTGCAGGTTTTCCCAACTTTATAAACAGTTTGGTTGCATAACGACTGAAAGTAGCACCACTGACTAATAATGAACCATGAGCTCAGTTTCATGATCGTTAATATGCAAATGAGGGACATTTGAAAGTCAATGTGTGCCATGAACCAGCCCATACAGACAAACAAACGAAGTAATATAGTGAAAGTGTTTATGTGCCGAGAGGATCGCTGTTGAGGAAACCGAACAACCCTCTGGCTAAGTCAGGGGTGTCAAACTCAAATACACAGTGGGCCAAAATTCAAAACTGGAACAAAGTCGCGGGCTAACATTAATATTTATTGAAAAAAAAATCTTCCTCCAGATATAAGAATGAATCTTTTCTTATGGACTCAAATAAGTTTTGCTGGAAAACTGAATATGGAACAAGCAAAGCTTAATACTAAACAACATATATATTACCTGTATAATACCAGTAGGCCAGCTCTAATAGTAATTTGGTATGGCTTCGCGGGCCAAATGTAATTAGGCTGCAGGCCAAATTTGGCCCGCGGGCCAGAGTTTGACACCTATGGGCTAAGTGGATGGCACAGCACAGCAGACCTACGAGAGAGTCCAGACCAAGAATATGCAGCATGTTTACAACTACAGGCCGGTGGCCACTTTTCCACTGTTGAAGATGTATACATGTGGTTTGAGCAGGGAGTCAAGGAGTGCAATTATGTTAGAAGGGAACAGCCATCTCTGAACCAAAGAGGGGGCCTTACAGTACATCTTTCATCATATTACAGTGCTGTGATTAGCACTCGTGGTCAACAGTGGTCATAGAAATTTCAGTATTAGCAGTCTTGAAACTGGTGTTAGTCAGTGGTCCAAGTTTCAATCATTGTGCAACTGTGATGAGATGAAACATCACATCAAGTTGTACAAAATCAACTTTCTGGAAATTCACATTGTTGCTGATTAAATTTCTTACTGTGAATATTTACAGAATGAATACAAACAAACAAACATATATTTCTTCTGATTTTTCAGAGTAACACTGTCTTTACATGCTACAAATGTGAAAAGTTCTTCTCCTCTTCCGAGGAGCTCAGCAAGCATCAGGCCACCCACAGCACAGAGGAGAAGGCCTTTGTCTGCTCTTACTGCCAGAAAAGCTTCTTTACCTTCACCGAGGTGAGGACATGGCAGGCATTTTAAAGCTTATTTTCTGTGCTGGAGGCTTCCAGTGTACCATTTCTTACTGTTTAATATTTTGCAGCTGAACCAACACAGACGTCACGAGTGTAAAGAACGGCGGTGTCCCTGCAGGGACTGTGGTGCTTCCTTCCCCAGCCCGTCACGACTTCGCAGCCATCGCATTGCGGTGCACCCCCAGCCCCCAGAACAAGCCGATGACCTGAACACCTTCCAGTGCTGCAAATGTCATCAGAGTTTCCAGACAGAGGAAGAGCTCCTGCAGCACCAGGAGAAATTTGCCAGGGAAATAAACTGTGACGCTAAGCTGCAAGGCAAAAAACGCGGGCGTAAACCCAAGCATGCAGTTCAAGGAGCGACTGGTGACAGCAAGAGGATAAAACAAGAGGGAGCAGATAACCACGAAGAATACAGTGACCCTCCAACAGACGGCTGCTCCTCCTCCGAGCTCCAGATTCCCTGTCCCGAAGCAGACTGCGATCTCATATTTCCTTCTGTCTTAGCCCTGCGGGCACACAAGCAAGTCGGGCACAACCCTCATGCGTGCATACAGTGTGACGAGAGCTTTGCTCAACCCGAGCAGCTCAGCGCACACAAGGCTACGGCTCACAACTCTAGATACACCTGCCTCACCTGTGCAAAGAGCTTTACAAGAGAAAGCAGCCTAAAGGCTCATGAGAGCACCCACACCGAACGAGAGGAGGGAGCAGAAAATACATAATATAAAGGGAAGAGACTGCAACTCGTCATTACGTGTTTAGATTAAATGATGGTCAAAATGAAGACTGCACAGACCTGTACAGACCAGGTAGTACTCTAACTACATGATCACCTTGGCCTTTTCTTCTTACTAATCCTTCCAGTGTAAGCTATCCTGGAAAACCATACCAGGGTTTGCACTGTGAGGAAGCAGGATGGTTTGGAGGCAGAAGGCAGAGACATACCTGACAGTCAACTGGGAAACTTTAGTTTGTGTCCACTCACTTTAATCTCATCACAGCTTTGTTAGGTTTACCCCGCAGCTACTACTGCTTTAGCGTGAGTAAAACGGCACTTTTATAATGTTAAAGACGTGCTAGAAATCTCGTTTTTCTGTGTTTTTAGTGGGTTGACTTGATCTAAAACTAAAGGTGGCGACACCAGCACATGTGCACTTACTCACACGGCCACCAGAGGTCAGTTATCTTGAACTGTAACTATATAATTCACCTATTTTATCATTTTCTGATGGAGGATTGTGTCTGTTGTTTTATGTTCTACAGACTATCCTTAAGAGCTTGAAAAGAAGGTAGCTGGACTTCTTTAATTTTGTCCATAATTCTGTCCATATTACCTCCACATTACCTGTAATGTATTTTATTCACTGTAGACCAACAAGTTATTTCTTACAAGTGCAGTGAATGTTTTGTATTTAGCTGAAGTCAGACACTAAGTCCCAAACATGATACAATCTTAAATACTACAGTACAGCAGTATATAGGGTTCTCTGTCAAGAGACAGTCAGCCTCAAGGTTTCATTTCTTTTCTTTTTTTTCTTTGTTTTTCAGAAGTTGTTGC